TCAGCCAAGACATTTTCTCAGTTTTTTCCATGCATTGCTATTCTGCCAGTTTCTCAGACAAAAAAACCTTGAAATCATTGCTAACTTTTTCCTTAAATTCTTCCTATAGGCACTCTCAGTCATATTACTAAAAAAACACTGTATTTTATTCTGTCTTCCAAAAATCACTAAATGTTACACAGTTATCAAATTCACCTTTTCCTCTTCCTCTTCATTATTAGATATGTATTTATTGATTACAATATGCAAAACATTGTCCCAAATATTACACATTTAATATTGCATTCGATCTTCTAAACATCCAATGAGTAAGATTGATTATTTTCCTTACTTTACAGACACACAAAATAGATTCCCAGGAAAGTAAAGTAATTTGCCCAAGACTTTAGGGCTAATAGATGGTAGAGGTGGAACAGAAGTCCAAAAAGGAATCTTAACCTCTATGCTCTAGTAGTCATTGAAGACTTTCCTCCATTGATACCAACATATGTACCTGACCACATCACCCAGTAATTATTAAGATAAAATCTCCCCTCCAGGCCACATCTTCTCAGTAGTCTCTAGAGCTCACTGATATTTAGAAGCACTGAAATCTACTTCTATTCTTCTCTGATTACTCAAAGGCCACCCATCCTTCAAAGATAGGCTGTATCTCCTAATTGCTTCTCATCACTCTGATATTTTTTAAATAAGTTAATTTTGAAAGGGCTTATCATTAATATAATGTAGTGGTTAGGACTTCATATAAGACAAAGTGAATTCAGATCTAAGTACTTGCACTTAATAACCATGTAACTGGAGAAACTACACAAATATATTCACCCTTCAGTTCGTGTAAATGTAAAAAGCAGATGGCTACAATGTCTTCCTTACAAAGTGTATTAAAATAATAGAGATATTGTAAAGAAAATACTCATAATGACTAGTTGACAATGAATACCTGGTAAGTTACAACTATTACCATTGCCATCTAATCATATACTTTAAAGAAATATTATAATTCAAATATTAACAGTTTATCCCATTTGCCATGCCAAAATAAAACTTGGCTTTTAAGGGGAATATAATCATATTTTGTGTATTTTATGGCTCCTAAACCAATGTTCAGAACTGATAGACCCAGAATAAGTGTTAAGTATATGTATGAATTAAATACTGAAGGCTAGGACACAGATATAAGATACTAAATGAGTGGAAAAAATTCCATGTGGAATCTTTCATTCACTTATAGAAAATAAATAAAACTGCGGGAAAATCCACAACTTTCCCATCTTTAATCTAGACTTGGAACAAAGTACTTTGAACTCTCCAGCAGCCAGTCAGAAAATGAGGAGTAACAGGTTGTGACCACAAGATACGAAAGAAAATGAGATCTACATTGATTAAATGGTGACTACAGAAAGACTGAAAATACATCTTCCCAATTATGACTCTCTACAGATGAGTAGTTTCTGAGATGAAAAAAATTACCATTAGGAACATTGCCTTCGCTGGCTTCCACTGGATGAGTGGCCCATTCTGGCAGGTCAGATAAAAAACCATTCTCAACACAACTATTAGTGCCTGTGGTTGAGATAGAGCCCAGTGGGCAAAGGTAGTTTAAGAAAGGAAGTGAGGCCAGCACAGTGGGTCACGCCTGTAATCTCAGCAATTTAGAAGGCTGAGGCAAGTGGATCACCTAAAGTCAGGAATTCAAGACCAGCCTGGCCAACATGGTGAAACCTTGTCTCTACTAAAAGTACAAAAATCAGCCATGAGTGATGGCAGGCTCCTGTAATCCCAGCTACTCAGGAGGCTTAGGTAGAAGAATCGCTTGAACCTGGGAGGTGGAGGTTGCAGAGAACCGAGGTCATGCCATTGCACTCCAGCCTGGGTGACAGAGCCAGACTCAGACTCAACGGGGGAAAAAAAGAGAATGGAAATGAAACTTTAGTGTCCTTGGCAAATATGTGTCCTTATTAAACAAGATAAAAATGGCATAATCTATATTATTAAGCAAGGGTGCTGATGAAAGAGTCATAGAAAGATTATTGTAACTTGTGGTATCCATCCCTAGAAGGATAAGTGAAGAGCACCTAATTTAGACTGGTGAATTTCTTATCTCTGAATCCCCAGCATATCCTCCTGTCAAATCTGACTTGTGAAAAGTGAGCTATTTTTCTAATATTCTATTGGTTTATTTTTTAAAAAATTAAAGCTCTAAATATATTCAGAAAACTCCAATAAATTTGTACTAACTTTTGTGGAAAAACCTTGGCAATAGTGACATCTTTATAGAGCATAAGTGCATTTTTTCTGAAAGAAATAGTCTGAAAAACACATTTTGCTTATAATCAGATCTAAACTTTACAGTTTTGCTTTTATGTAGCAATTACCATGTCATTAGAGAAGATGAGTGATATTTCTTGCAATTTAACTTAAGGAGGTGGTTAATTTAAAAAGTGACATTCTCAAAAGTTTCCAAAGAGAGGCTTTTTCTTCAACTTGGAAACAATAAGAAATGGTTAAGGTATTCAGAAAATCTGACAAATATAGTATTAACATACTTCATTCTTTAAGCAGCTTGAGGCTTGGTAAATTTTTAATTTTGAGGCAAATTTTGATAGTATGATGGCTAGTTTACATGGGTTGAAAAAAGACACATAAAAATGAAATGAGTTGCTAAACCCTGATTGCACCTTCTGACTCTGCAGCTTGGTCACCGTATTAAACAGTGATGGACAGAGTGTAATGGTTAAAGTCATGAACTCTGAAGTCAAACGTTCGTGCTTTAATCATGGTTCCATGACTTTCTAGCTGTGTATGTGTAAGCAAGTTACTTATCCTCTCTGTAATATTAGATATTAGTGTCTGCCCCATAAGTTTTTGTTGAAAGGATTAAATTAATTGTTGTAATATTTCCAGAACAGTACCTGTCACAAAGTCAGGGCCAGAAAACTCTCCATAAGATACAATAAAAATAGATCAAAGGGAATAGAAAGCAGTTAAAGGAGAAAAAGTAAGTGAAAGAGCCCAACTGCAGGCATTGGCACACATAGAGGGCAATTTCTGGAGTGTATGCCTCTGAGGAAATGAGATACAGGAAAAAAAGCAGCCCAGCAACTGCTAGACTCAATTATCTCCCTGCCCCAATGCACTTCCCTCCCTCTGCACCCACTACCCAGAACTAATAACAGTATGTTTTGAAATCAACTACTTGACTTGTAAATTGATCATATTTAAGAATCTCCTCTTAAAGAGAAAAATTATACAGCTATTTCTTAGGAGGCTGGAAATTAGCATTTATTTACCCATTAGATAACTGACCTCATAGGTAAGATTCCTGTAGATTATTTGGAATGACCTTAGGCTAATACGCCGTGGATTTTTCTAAGTATTCAATAACATGAATCAGAGAGATAACTATTAGAATTAATCACAATAAGTTGAACTATCATAGACACCTAGGGGCTTTCCTTTCTGCTTCTGAGTGTTTATCAGCCTCAGGCAAAGACTTAGTCATTTATGATTTGGGCTGTGCAAAAGTAAATAACGGAAAAGTAGGTGGTTTGCAGGCCTCCATCAAGATTTAGGGGAAGACAAACTATAAACAACCACAATTAGAGAGAAGCCAGATGCTTAAGGAGGCTGACATAATAAATAACTGATAAATAACTCTCAACAAAACTCATTCAAAACAGAATCTTATTAAGAAAAAAAGGTCCTGCTTTCAATTAGGTAACTTTTTAATCAGTTAACTGAAATGTCCGAATCAGAAGAGCGTATCCTTCATAATATGTTTTTCCTTCTTAAAGGCTTCCTATCTTTCATCTCATTCTGTAAACACTTAAGTCCATTTTGTGTACTGCACCGAATGCTATATTATGCTTATTTACAGGCTATAATGCCTGTTTAAATTTATGGAGATAAATGTAGTCTCTGAGGGAAAAGATATTCTCAATCCCTGGCTGCTCCTGGCTAAAGTGTCTTATTTTAGAGAAGTCGTGGCTGGAGAGCCAGGCTGCAGGAACTCAGAAACCAGCCTGCTGACACTTCCACTGCAGCTGCTGGAATTCAGCTGACTTGTATTCATTCTACTTTTCACGCAAAGGTGGCTTTGTCCTATTCGCCCAACTGGAATGGTTGTATCAATGTAAGAAAATTTTCTCCACAAATGAATACCCAGCTGTATGCCAAAAACAAAGTGGAGAAAATAGCTTCTGCCCTCACCAAATCATCTCTAATAAGAGAGATAATATTTCCTTCAAAATGCTTATATTCATTTGAGAGAAAGATATGGAATATTTTACATGTGCCCCTCACTGGAATGTCTTTATTTAATTCAATAAAAATAGACTCACGGTTCTTTATGGTAATCTGCAGAAAATACTCATTTAACTTGTGTCTAACAGCATGCATTTGTTTTGATAAAAACAATATTTTCATGGTAAATATTTACTTTGTGCTAAGTGCTGCCATTCTGCAATTGATGTCTGTAGTTATTGCAGGCAACATTGTGAAGGAGATAATGAAGCTCTGAGGTCTCTCTCTCTCATCACCAGCGGCTCTACATCCACCTTCTTAATGCTTCTTGTCACTGAGCATTAGTTATCACAAGTGACTAAGTCTATGCCTGAGGCCTATAAATACATATTATTTTCCTCTATTGCCCTGACTTGATCCTGTCTCCCACCTTCAACATTTATCTGTTTTAGACTCAAGTTCCTATAGCCCTGCCCACTTACTGGCCCAATTTGATCAATTAATTTATTGATCAGAGGCCATGATAATATGAAATCTAAAAGAAGAAACATTAACATTTTAAAGTCTTCCAATGCCTTTTAAGAGTGTGTGTGTGTATATTTCAGAGAGTATCGATGAGTTACTAAGGCAGTGATTTAGTTAGTGGATCAGCTTGGACATTTCTCCAGTGAATCCATGAATGTGGTATGGGTTTGATTATATTAGTGTTACTTGGTCTGCAACTTCTCACTCTTGAATTAGACAAACAAAAATCTTACCTCAACAGCAACATCTCCAGCATTTCCTCGATGAGGAATTTCATATGCTTCTATTTGTTGCTTTGTGAGTCGTGCTAACTTTTCAGCTAGTTCCCTCCAGCCTTTTCCAAGCTTGACAGCTGAAGTCAGAACAGCAGCTTCTTGGATGAGACGTGCTGCTAATCCTTGGCAATCCATTTTCAGAAGAGCCTGCAGCCACAATTGCATGTCACAATTAAAAGCAACTAACTTGGGCTTTTTTCTCTATAACTTGAAGTTTTTATTACATATTCTAGAAATGAGAGTCCTTTTTTCCACTACACATATAATTGAGCTTTCTAAAGCTCAAGAAGTTGATCCACATTTAAGCAAATTCTACAAGCAAACTACAGTGGACATAACTAAGCCAGAGGTAGGGGAGATTTAGAACTAATTCAGTGGCTAATTATAGGATCTTGGATAAACCACTTAACTAATGTGTGTCTTGGCATCTTTAATTGTGAAAACAGGAAGTTAAATTACATACTTCCAACATTACTCTGAAGTTCCAGCAGTCTATATTTTATCAATCTATGGTTGATTATTTACTCAAGAGAAATAATGCCTTGCTCTACCAGAGGATTGGCTACAAGAATTTCTCTAAAGTGTGTGGGACTGGTGATGGTAAATATTATTCTACTTTCACCAAAATATGACTTAACACTTCCCAGAATCATGCCTGTTGCTTAAAAAAAAATGAGACACTCCTTCAACTTTGAACAAAGCTATTGATGTTTATAAGTTTAAATATATATATATAAACATTAAAATACTCTCCCTCATCACCAATATAATGGTGTTAAACATAAACTACGAGGTATTAAAGACAAAACGCTTAGTCTTCTACAATGCAAAATAGGAAGCCATCAGACTCTTAGCTAACCATGCATGTTTCAAACAAGTCTACAAGTTTGTACTTTGCCTTGAGTACCATTTCTAAAATATGGAATTATATCTATCTATATTTCTTCTTCGTTCAAGTGAGCAAATAGAGTGGTTCCTCTTTATCCAGGAAACATTTCAAGACCACCCAGTGGATGCCTGAAACTGCAGATAGTGTCAAATTTTATATACACTATGTTTTTTCCTATACATACACACCTATGGAAAAGTTTAATTTATAAATTAGGCACAGTAAGAGATTAACAAAAATAGCTAATAATAAAATATAACAATTACAGTTACATACTCTAAAAGTTATGTGAATGTGGCCTCTCTCTCTCAAAATACCTTATTGCACTGCTCTTACCTATTTGTCAATCATGGTTGACAAATAGGTAAGATTTAGAAAATCCACTAAGATTTAGAAACTCCCCACTTGAATGGACTCTCCACTAGATTGTTTAGTTAGCCACTCGAGACACTCTGATAATTAACATACCTCAAAGAGTACAGGTATGATCAGGCTTGAACTTTTAGACCATTTGGCCATTACAACTTTTTGAGGCCACTAAAAGAACAAAAGAAATTAATTTTCCAATTCAAATCTTTGCAGGTGAATAATGAACATAAGCTATGAGAGTCAATGAGCTATTACAAAATGCATATGCAGTTTCAACCAGACAGAGCAGCTTCTGCAATTCAGTCTTTAATATTTCTGAATGGCTCAGGTGAGATGAGAATGCAGCACACCATAAAAAATCTATCAACTTAGCAAGTGGGTATTGGAGCTTTTGAATTTCAACTCCTGTAAGAATCACTGTAGAATCATAAATAATATTGAAAAAGATAATATTATATATACTTATTTATTATATGAATCATTGTCAATGCCATAGATTAAATTTTTTCTCCAAATATATACTACTTCTTTTGCATCTTGATTAAAACTTTGCTCCTTTGCATGAACCTGCCTATATAATTTTATTTACCTTCTACTGGGCACCAGGCTTTCACAATTATAGAGCTATTTAATGCATACACCTACATATATACAGTACTTACACAAACATTTTTATACACACACACATTACTTTGTTTCATGAAGGCATAATGGCTTTAAGCATGATTTTGGAGCCAAAAAATATTCAATCCCATCTATAAGAATAGGCAACTGTAGGACTTGGGCAAATTGCCTCACTTTCAAAGACTCAATTTCTTCCATCTATAAGGTGAAGACACTAACTATACTTACCTCATAGAGTTATTATTAATGGCTAAATGAGATAAGGTATATAGAGTGTTCAGCACAGTGCAAAATATACAGGAAGCACTAGAGAAGTATTAACAATCACTATTATTTTTACGCTCATGTTTTAACCATTTTTAGAAATATGCTCTTGATTTTTTTTATTTTTATAAAATTTTGGATTTCTACTTTAAAGGTAAAAAATACTTCGTAATTCTCCACTGAGCCTTCCACTGGGTTGACTACTACACTAAAGAATTTGACCCTAAGAGTTCTATTAAAACATGAGGATTAAGATGAGAATTACTAACATCATTGTTTAGACTGTAATGCATTGCATATAAAGGATATTAAATTGCTAAAGTGAAGGATATTGATAATACATTTATAAAAGAAAAAGCCAGGTGTGGTGGCTTAAGGCTGTAATTTCAGCAGTTTGGGAGGCCAAGGTGGGAAGATCACTTGAGGCCAGGAGTTCAAGAGCATCTTGGGTGACATAGTGAGACCCCCATTCCAAAAAAAAAAAAAAGCCAGGCATGGTGGCACATGCGTATAGTCTGTTGCTTGGGCAGCTGCAGCTGAGCCCTGGAGGTTGAAGCTGCAGTGAGTCATGATCATGCCACTACACTTCAGACTGGGTGACAGAGCCAGACTTTGTGTCAAAACAAACAAATAAACCACACACTGAAAAGATCTCTAACAATGGTCAGGTTAGTTTTCTTTAGTTTCCTTAGTTTGCTTTTATCTACTTTCACGTTATGGAGCCTCTCTGGTATCTTAAGAGCTGTCTAAATATTTGAGAAGTCGTATCTGAACTGTTAAGCCCAGTACAAACAGTAAGTACCTTTAATTTTATTTTAAAAGATGATTTTCAGAGGACTCTTTCTTGCAGAAATCACAATTGAATCTCAAATTTAAGAAACCAGTTTTATGATCATGTAGGAAAAACTATATTTGCTATAACGTGTCTTCAATGTATTTAAGACTGTTGAATATTTAAATATTTCTCCTCTCACGTTTGGTTATAAATATTATCAAGTTAATAAAATTCTCTATGACAATTCATTACTGTGATCAAGCAATACTCACCACAATAAGTTCATACAAAAACTTTCTCATATTTCTATCTGCGTGGCAATCTTCCTTTAACTTCTTTATAACATAAGAAACTTTTTCTGATTCTTTGTCTACTTGAATTTGATCAAAATCTTCCAGTGACAGATGTGAGTAACCCAGGACGTCAGCTAAAACTTTCCAGTCATAAACTTTTTCTGACACCAAGGTCAATACAACTGAATAGATATAAGTCAGTTTTTTAAAAGGCAGGGCAATTTGTTCAAGAAGATTTCTGGTTGTAAAGACACCATCTGATATAAACATTACTTGCTCCTTTGGAATCACCTTGACATTTTTGCAGTGTACAAGTCCAATCTTACCTCTGAGGACTCCCACATACCATTCTTTCACTTTGGACTGCCCAATAGCTTTTACCTTCCCTTCCCCGAGGAGAGCAATTGTGTCCCCTTTAAAATATTCAAGTAAGTAGTCAATCTTGTTTTGTCTTAGCACGGCTTTCAGGGTTACCCCATAGCTGATAAAGTTCAATGTTTTATCTTGAAATGTGGGATATTTAACAAGCATTTTTGGGAATAAAGGAGCAGACTTGACTTCCTCCTTCTTCTCCAAATAGCCTGGCAGATTAGACAGCCTTTTTGGGTTTCGGGCTGGATCAGGGGTAGTGACACGGAACTGTGCAACTGTTTCACCATTGAGAGACTCCACCTGGACACAAAAAACAAACAAGTGCATTTCTCTGTGCTCAGCTAAAGAAAATAAAAATTGTTGACGAACTACTTCACCTGCTTTCAACTGCTTTTGTTTAATTTCTTTTCCTTCTCTTTCTGTCTTTACTTTAAAATCAGGATCACAGGAAAAAACAGAAATCCTTAAATCTTGTGGCTTGTCAAGTAAAAATGAATGCTTTCCCCAGAGCTGAAATACAACTGGAGATACGTTTTTTCCACCCTGCTTAATATCAGAAATTGTAAGCTTTCCTGGCATATAATTGTGTCCACAAACTGTGAAAACAACAGTAAAACTGGGATGGATATATTTGGGTCCATAAATTCCAATTGAGGTGGTTTTGTGGATGTAATCCCAAATGGTGGCAGCTGGTGACCGAAGAGCTTTAGCCTGTGCAGCAACCACTAGATACATCACCTTGCTCAAGTCGATTAGCTTGACTTGGATGGTGTCTTTGTAAATGTAGCAGTTGCTTAACACTTTAAAAGGACCTTCTTTATCCAAGCTGTGTAAGCAAACCATTTCTGTCATGACTTGGCTAAAAGGATCCTTTCTCACTTCAGCCCCAATTTTCATCTCCAGCAAAAGGGCTTCCATTGTATTGAGGTTGCCTAACATGATTTCCAACACTGGACTCACAGTGCATGAAAGATCATGGTTAAGCATGTGTGGCGGATCAAGGAAAGCCCTTAGAGACACTTCTTGGAATTCTCCCACAGCCACATGACCTTGGGGCACATGAACAGTGATGTCTGATTCCGGTAGTTGTATCGACCCTCCTTGATGGTTTACTTTACAAGCTACAGTGATCTCTGCAAGTTGTGTTTGGGCCCATCCAGGGCTCTGAGTAATTGTATTCAAATCAAGGCAGGAGCGGGCCAGCTGGCGTTGACTTAACCAAGCCATTTTATAAGCTTCTCGGTCATTTTTAAGCCATTCTAAGTCTTGTAACAGGATCTGGTCAGAGTTATGTATATTCTGACGGGCATATACTGTATCGTCTAAAATGTCCAGAAGTTCTGAAGCACTTTTAGATCTTCCAGATTTTCTTGAGGAAGACTTCCTAAGTAACTGATGCACATCAAGTTCATCACCCGAGGAATCAAAAGAATTTTTATTTTCTATTTCTCTAAAGAAAAGAAAAGGATCTTCCTTTAAGATGGAAATATTATTTCTCTTTCCATTATTTCTTAGCTGAGATATATCATCCAAAAATGGATTAGAAGCAGACAGTCCATTCCAGAATGGATTTGTAACTTTGGAAGCATTATTATCATGAAGGGTGAAAGCATCCAGCCAATTGTGAAGCAAGCCTGGGTCCTGGCATCCTTGTTATTTAAAGAAAAACAAAGCAAAACAAAGATAAGGTGGCATTCTGAGTTATAATCAAGATTAAGTTTTCTCATAGCTTAAAAATTCAGGACTTAATTTCATTTTTCTTTCTGATCTCTAGTCTACTAGCTAACACAAACTGTGTCAAATTTGGTCAAATTTGTATGTAACAAGAAAAGAACATTTCTCTGCCAAGTTATTTTTTGAACATATATAATGTTATTTTAAGATATCACAATTTATAAACTAAACAAGTAAATATTTAATATGATGTAATAATATATTTAACATATTTTCTTGAAAATGACAGACTAGCATGTGCTTGTACTTTATTATTTGATGTATCATGCTTATAAAAGCAAATCTCTAGTCAAGTAGAAAAATTCTATTATCCACCTTTTTCTAAACATTGAATAGTTGGTCTCATTACATCCAAAATATTAGCTTAATGTTTTCCTTTTCAGATAATATTCAATATGTAGAAAATATCAAATACATCTGTTAATATTTAAAATAATTTTTAAAACATACTAAATTAGAAAGTCATTCATTTATTAGATAATTCTGTAATAACTTTGTATTGATAAATGTTAATAACATTGAAATTTTTTCAGGAAAATGAATTCATAGAGTGAACATTGAAAAATTAGACCATCATTTATTTTATTGAACAAAGGAATTCATTGCACTCAAGCTTTCAATGACAAATAACAATTTTACCACTAGAAATTGAAGCATTATTACTTTGGAAAGTAAGTGTCTTAAGAATTCGTAACATGAAAAAATTTACATTTCTATTATAAGAATTTTTAGATATCCCACAACGTTGAAGCCATTTTTGTGGGTATAGAGCAACTCAGACTTGGTCATTTCTTAGTAAATAATTGTAAAGACTCTGTGGACTTTGTGAAGCTACTGCTGCTTTTAGAGACAGGCTGAATTTTCAGAAGTTCTATTGAAAAGAGAATTTAAGCCAACTGTCAGAATTTTTTTGGTTTAAAATATGTAGAACTATTATCTTGACTGGAATGTTTTTAAGTCTTATACGCTAAAAAATTAGAAGATGCAGGCCCAGCATGGTGGCTCATGCCTATAATCCCAGCACTTTGTGAGGCTGAGGCAGGCAGATCACAAGGTCAGGAGTTCAAGACTAACCTGACCAAGATGATGAAACTCTGTTTCTACTAAAAATACACATTAGCCAGGCTGAGGCAAGAGAATCACTTAAACCCAGGAGGTGGAAACTGTAGTGGGCTGAGATCGTGCTGCTGCACTCCAGCCTGGGCGACAAAGCAAGACTCCTTCTTGAGGAAAAAAAAAAATTAGAAGACGCATTTTGAAAAATAAAGGTGACATTTCTGTTACATTCACACTTTTCTTTAATACAGTTGCCATTAAGTCCTTTAAACTTACTTTTCCTCTGAGAATCAGGTGAATTTTTTGATGCACCATGAAGATTTCCTAGGTTGACCAACTTTCAGAGAGACTTTTTAACCCCCAAATTCATTATAGTTATGGCGTATAACCCTCATTTATTAGCAACGTTTTTGTTTCTATAATAGTTATCATAATCCATTGGCTGTGCTATTTTATTTTGCAGATCTTTTTAACTATTCATATGATAAAAACAGGATTTTATAATTCTTTTATCTTCCAAAGTATTTTCAGTGGTAGATCTCCAACAGTTATTGGCGATGAATTGCATGTACTTACATGGACAAATCACAACAGTTATAAATTTCTGTACCTGTAATATTGCAACTTTCTGAGAGTTTTCCAGCTTCCATGTCAGCCAAATTCCCTTCAGACCTACTTCGTGTAATTCCTCCTGACCAAAAAGTTTTCTTTCACTGATTAACATTTTTCCACCTATAAAGTAAATAGATTCATATTTTTTGTAAGCATGCATATACATGTTGGCAGAGAAAATAAACTCAAAGACATCATACATATTTCTATAAAGAATTGCATGTGAAAATCCTCTGTATAAATAATTTTCTACTTCTGGTAGGATACTGGACTAGATATACTAAACTATGTATTATCACTCCACTAAAAAATGCTCAATAAAATGCAATAAATAAATAAATAAATAAAAATGCTCAGATTTGGATTAATACCAATAACCAAATCTGGAAATGCATTACTGATCCCATATAAAGTAATTGATGAGAATCCCAAGGATAACAAAAAATAGTAAATTGAAAACTCAGTAAATAAACATTTCCAGTTGGGTGATTGGAGGACTAAATATCACAAACTAAAAATTCTCCCCTAAATCATTGTATACATTCAATGCAGTTCCAAGAAAAATTGCATGTAATTCATATGTGTGTTTTTTACTCCTTTTTTACTTTTTAAAATTGTATTTACTTCCTAGTAGATAAATGTATATGTATTTATTGCATACAACATATTGTTTTGAAGCATATTGTGTTTAACAACATATATAGCAACAATAACTTTGTAAGCTATTTTAATATTTATATGGAAAAGCAAAGAGCTAATATTCAAGATAATTCAGAAGAAAAGCATGACAGAAGTAATATGCACTACCTATCAGGTATCAGCATTTATTTTAAATTATTTAAATTTATTTAAATTATTAAAAATTTATTTTAAATTATTTAAATTATTAGGTGCTAAGACAACATAGAAGTAGAACATAAATAGATGAAAGATATAGAATAGATATTCCAGAACCAGACCCATCCTTATATGAAGGATTGGTGTATGGCACAGGTGGTCATGCAGAGTGGTGTGGAAATGATAGATTATTCATTAAACAGTGATGTTGCCATTGGTTGTGCATGCTAAAAAAAAATTATATTGATCACTATCTCACCCTGTGAACAAAAAATAAATGCCAAAGGATTAATAAACCCAAAAGTGAAAAAAAACTTTAAAATTTTAAAGATAGTCCAGAGATTGTCTTTATGCTTTCTGGGAAAGAGACAATTTCTTAAGGTGCATACACTTATGCAATATGCATATCCTACTTTTAGGATATGCATAAAACCTCACGCTATAAAGAAACATCCTATGTATCAAAAGACATCATTTACCGTTAGTTAAAAACACAACGCAAAACTGGGACAATTTATTTTCATTGCACATGACTGAAAAAGGAAAAATAATTGGATTCCAAAATATATCAAAGATTCCCACAAATCAATAAACAAAACAACACTATAGAATTTTTTTTTAATTCTCTGAACAAACATTTCTCAAAAGCTGGAAACACAAATGGCCCCTAGATATATGGAAATATGATCAATCTCATTGGTAATTAGGAAAATGCAAAATGAAACCCCATGAAACACAATTTTCACCTTCCAAATTTGCAAACGTTTTAGTCTAGCAACACCAATTATTGACAAATATGTGCAACAAAGGGAAAGACTATATACTTGTAATGGAAGTGTCAATATGTGCAACCAGCTGGAAGTTAATCTGGCATCGTCTAGGAAATATGCTTACAGTTTAGTACTCAACAATTCCAATCCTAGTTATTTGTTCTAGTAAGAACTCTGCAAATGTGCCTCAAAGAGATATACATGAATGTTCATTATATTATAAAAAAAAAAAAACCTGAAATCTCTAGGATATTCCCCAGAATATCCTTTGCCATACGAGTGGATAAATATTGTGGTATTTTAATGCAATGAAGTATACAACTATTGAAACAGATGAATCACAACTAAAAGTATGAACACATACTAGTAGTTAGCATATCATGCCTGGGACTCAGCCTTCTTTACATATATAATTTCTCTTTAGCTCACAACAACACTAAAAAATAGGTATTTTAAATACGACTTTCAGAGTCTTAGCAACAGAACATAACTAAACCACAACGTAAAACATCAAGTCAGACACTGACCAGAAGAAATTACTTGTTCATGTTATAGCTACTGCATGCAGCCCATAACTCATGATGCCACATACACTATGTCAGACTCAAGGTTCCCAATGTACCTTCTGAGGCTGTCCCACCTTCCAGTTCACATTTCCTTTATTTATCTATTTATTTATTTAAAGACGGAGTCTCACTATGTGGTCCAGGTTGGAGTACAGTGGCACCATCTCAATTCACTGTAAACTCTGCTTCCTGGGTTCAAGTGATTTCTCGTGCCTGAGCCTCTGGAGTAGCTGGGATTACAGGCAACCACCACCAGTCCTGGCTAATGTTTGTATTTTTAGTAGACATAGGATTTCACCATGTTGGCCATGCTGGTCTCAAACTCCTGACCTCAGGTGATTCACCCGCCTCAGCCTCCCAAAGTGCTAGGATTACAGGTGTGAGCCACCACACCCAGACCAGTTACTTTAAACCTTAGTGTTCTTCTTTGTGTGTATTGATCACATCTTCTTCATCTGTGACTCCTTCCTTCTTTTTCATTAGACTTTTCTTTCAAGTTCTTTACTTTTTTTTTTTTCAAGTAGTTTATTTTATTTTTTAAAGAAACCAAAAGTCTTTTCTGGTACATAAACATGAAAGAAAAAATTAAAACAAGATGGAAAAGAGGGAAAAGGAATAAAAGAAAAAGAAAAGAAAAAAGAGGGAAGCATGTGTTTCCAGACATGATAATGAAATAAATCCAAAAATCATCTCATAAGGTGGCATGCCTTAAAAAGATCCAATGTTGCAATAGCAATTTTTTTCTCTGATTGGGGAAACTACATTGAAAAAAAAGGGTAAAAAGTTGAATTATGCAATATTCAAATTGCACTGAAACCTCAAATTTCCTGGCAGATCTTCCAAATGCTACGGTTGATTTTACCAAATATGATGTCCAAAATTAAAAGTTTTTAGCACAGCATAAGTAGCCAAAATTTTGAGGTAGAAAAACTGAGCTCAAGTTCCTCAACAAAATGTAACACACTAATTTAAATTAGGAACAAATGTCTAAATGGAAAAATATTTTCAAAAAGATAAAATATATTTAAAAAGAAAATCAACTTAGTAAAGTAACTAAACTCTTTCATTTGTTGTGAAGAAAGAGCAAAATGAACAATATATACTGAGGATTCCTTTGAGGCAAATAACCGTTAATATGAAAAATAGTTACAACCAAATGAATGTAGGTAGATGTCCTTAACCACATAAAAACCAGGAACCATGCCTTATGCAGCTGTGACCTTGAAGGATCATAGCCTCTCAGAAACAAGTGGTCATCAGCTGAGATTCTTTGTGGATTATCCTTATCCTCCAGTCACCCAAACAGATCTTCACTGTCCTTCAGAGTGGCTGTTCCATATCTCAGTGGTACCAGGATCACTTGGAAGGCTTAATCAAACAACCCTTTGGAACCACCCCAGTGTTTCTAATCCAGAAGGTCTGGGACTATGCACAAGAATTTTATTTCTAACAAAACCGTCAAATGGTACTGATGCTGTGGTTCAGTTCCAGGGTGCACATGTTGAGAACCACATTCTGAAAGCTGCTTCCCTAGCCAAATGGTTTCCCTAACCACTCTCACTATCCCCCAACAAATCCTCCCTCTCATAATCTTTCTCTACGCACACACATCACTCACAATACTATCCTAAATCTAATTTTTTTCCTATGAATCCAAGGAGAGGTGGTATAAGGGGAAAAAAAGTCCTTGACTGGAAAGACAAAGATCCGCCCTGTCGATGGCAGTGCTTGTTTACACGGGCGCAAATCACACTAGCCACGTTTAGCATTTCCCTGGGTTTTCTTCCAGTTAAACCCCATACTAGATGACAACTGCTGTCCAAAACAGGATTTTTTTAAACATTTTCTAGAGAAGCATGAGTCAGTTTTTGTTGGAATGAGTAAATGAGAATAGAGCACTCTAGTATTTATTTAATTAGGGACATGGTTTTTCAATATGCCTTTTAAAAACACTTATGCTCATTTTGCATGATCCATTACTTTTTCCTTAAAAAATCAACAAACAGACTTTTGCCCTTGATTTGTTTTACTGTTCAAACTAGACCCTAAAAAACTACAAACATTTACCAAATGTACAACTTAGCAAAAGATGTCAGAAGATATATTTTTGTGAGGGTAAGGAGTGGGGAGCAATGCAGTGTTTGAAACAAGTAACCAAGAAAACAATGCCACTTAAAAAATGTCTTTAAAATGTGTCCTTTGAATTGCTTATGATGGTAATTACATAGTGAAAATTGCTATTATTATCCAGTCAGCAGGTTCAAAGAATTTTCTAATTAGTCCTTGAATACCTGAAACCTCGATGATTTCCATGAATTTGTACTGGATTTAACTCTTGATCTATGTGATAATCAAAATATGCTCATGTTGGCTATAACTCTTATAGGTTACTGCAAATACTAAAATGTCAGAAGAGCAACTGTTGGACTAGTAGAATTTTCCTTCACCCCCCAAATGCCAAACCTGCCCAAGTAACACTGTATTATCTTGCAAATGCAACTAGTATATTAAAAAAAAAAAAAGGCTCACAAAGGAATCATAATCAGCTGATGATACTCACCTGGTATGATTTTATTGGACATTACCATTCTGGGAGTGGCCTTAATGGATCTTACCCCTAGGGCAACTTCTGATGGGCTAGTGGCATTCTCTGATTGGTAATTTTTAATAATATTCAGACATACACAAGCACACCTTCTCCCAGTTATTAAATACTTAGAGCATTACATCTGATTATTCTGACCAAATATTTTAAAAACCTGACAGCCTGACAGGGCAAATTTTAGCAGTTACTTTTCCCCAAGGCAGAGTTTCAGAAGATTCTCCAGTGAAGACAGCAGGCACCCAGGGCTTTAAGCAGTATTAGAAATCCATAATAATTTCTATGATACCGCTAACCCTGGTAATTCAAAACATTTCATCAATATATCATCTTGTTA